GGATAGTTTGACTTCTTCCTTACCAATTTGGATGCCTTTGATTTCCCTTTCTTGCCTTATGGCCCTGTTTAGGACTTCCAGTACAGTGTTGAATAGAAGTGGTGATAGAGGGCATCCTTTTCTGGTTCCTGTTTGCAAGGTGAATGGTTTCATTCTCTCCCCATTGAGAATAATGTTGGTGGTTGGTTTTGCATATATACTCTTTATTATGTTGAGGAATGTCCCTTCTATTCCTATTTTGCTAAGAGTTTTGGTCAGGAATGGGTGTTGGATTTTATCAAATGCCTTTTCTGCATCAGTTGATATGATCGTGTGGCTCTTCTCCTTTGTTTTATTTATGTGATGATGACTTTGATAGTTTTTCTGATGTCTAACTATCCTTGCTGTGATAGTTGCAGCTGTGTGTCAACTTGGCTGGACCAGAATTCTGTGTGGTTTAAGCAATTGTGATGTGGGTTCTTCCGGTGATGGGATCAGATGTATATGTTTTGAGCAGCCAATCCATTGAAAGGGGATTTCCCTAGGGGTGTGGACTGCTCCCAGTATATTTATGGACATCCTGGGACAAGAGACACTCTTCTGTGGATCAGAATTCTGTTGTGTTGTCTACAACTGTCCGTGAGCGAACAGTCCACCATTCGGCCTGGAGATCTTGGATTCGTCATTCGTTGGAGTCAACAGCCAGTATACTGCCTGCCATCCTTGAGCTCGTCAGCCCCTGCAGCTGCGTGAGTCAGGAAAAGCCTCCAGCTTGACGTTTGATCCAAGAACTTTGGACTTGCCAGCTTCTCTAAGTGTGTGAGCCATTTTCCTAAGATAAATTTCTGTTTCTCTCTATATATAAGCTTTACTGGTTTTATTTCTCTAGAGAACCCAATCTAATATACTTGCATACCTGATATGAACCCCACTTGGTCATAATGTATTTTATATATATATATATATTTATATATATATATAGTTAGTTAGTTAGTTAGTTAGTTAGATTCTGTTGGCTAGTATTTTGTTGAAGATTTTTACATCTATATTCATGAGAGATATTGGTCTGTAGTTTTCTTTTTTAGTGATATCTTTGCCTGGTTTTGGTATCAAGGTGATACTTGCTTCATAAAATGAATTTGGGAGAATTCCATCCTTTTCTATTTTTGGAATAGTTTGAATAGGATTGGTGTCAGTTCTTCTCTGAACATTTGGTAGAATTCTCTGGTGAAACCATCTGGGCCAGGACTTTTTTTAGTTGGTAATTTTTTTATGACCTGTTTAATTTCTTCTTTTGTTACGAGTCTGTTCAACTTTTCTACCTCAGTCTGTGTTAGTTTAGGTAAGTGGTGTGTTTCTAGAAATCTGTCCATTTCTTCTAGATTTTCAAATTTGTTGGTGTTCAGTTCTTCATAGTATCCTGATATTATCCTTTTTATTGCAGTTGGTTCTTTTGTGATGTCACCCATTTTGTTTCTTATTTGTGTTATTTGTATTCACTCCCTCTTTTCCTTTGTTAAATTTGCCAGTGGTTTGTTAATTTTATTAATCTTTTCAAAGAACCCCCTTCTAGTCTTGTTGATTTTTTCTGTTGTCTTTCTATTTTCTGTTTCATTGATTTCTGCTCGAATTGAACAACAACAACAACAATGACTATAAGCTTTTCTTGCTGTTCTTTTTCTAATTGTTGGAGATGTTGGCTTAAGGTGTTGATTTTGGCTCTCTCTTCTCTTTTGATGTGTGATTTATAGCTATAAATTGGCTTCTGATCATTGCTTTTGCTGTGCCTCAAAGATTTCAGTAAGTTGTGTTTTCACTCTCATTTGATTCAAGGAATATTTTAATTTCATTTTTTATTTCTTCTATTACCCAGTCATTCTTACAGAGGGTGTTATATAGTTTCCATGTGTTTGCTCTTTTTCTGTTGATCTTCCTATTATTGATTTCTAATTTTATGGCATTGTGATCTGAAAAGATGCTTTGCAGTATTTCAATGTTTTTAAATTTATTAAGGCTTGCTTTATGGTCTAACATATGGTTTGTCATGGAGAATGTTCCATGTGCACTGGAAAGGGATGTATATTGTGCTGTTGTTGGGTGAAGTGCTCTGGAGATGTGTATAAGGTCAGGTTGGTAGATTGTATTGTTAAGTTCTTCTGTGTCTTTGTTGAGTTTATTTCCAGTTGTTCTATCTTTTATTGAAAGTGGCATATTAAAGTTTTCCACTATGACTATTTGTCTTTTTAATTCTGTTAAAATCTGATTTATATATCTGGGGGCTCTTTCATTGGATCCACAGATATTTATTATGGTTATAACTTCTTGTTTGATTAACCCTTTTTTAATCATTATGTCTTTCCTTGTGGTTTTTGTCTTAATATGATTTTTTTCCTATCATTTCCTTCATTGCTGTTGTTTAAGTATTTATTAAATATTTGTGCCTTTCTTTTTTTGATGAGAAGGCTTATTAACTCTCTTTGAGGTTACTCTGTGGTTTATTATTTTCTTCCTTAGTTTGTTAGAACAGTCTGTTTGTTGTGATAGACTTTCACCACATGTAATCAATAATGATATTGATACTGCCTGTGGTTCCATTTGCTTCATTCCTACCTCCCAGTTACCTTTGTGCTCTGTTGGCTATCTTCCCAGTGACTGCTCTAGTTGACTTCCACAGATTAATGGTAGAGCACATCTCTCAACCCCTTCCTCACTCTGTGAGAGTTTACTTGAGCAGCATGTCTGTCATTGTGGCTGGTTCTACCTTACTTCCCTTGCTGTCATTTTGTCTGACTATTCCACTATCTTGCCGGAAGTTCCCCTTGCTGTCACTTTGAATCTCCATTCTTGATCTCTTTTTGGCTTCAACATTCACTGTATTTGGAAACTAAGGGTTTTTTATTCTCTGCTATGTTTCATTCTGTGTACCAGGGTTAGTGCTTTCAACATAATTCTTTCATTTTACTCACTTAGAAACCCTTGAAGATAAATATCACTTTCCCCATTTCGTGGGTGAGTAAATTGAGATTCAGAGTACTTAAATGACTTCTCACTTGTCACATAGAGTCATGGACAGGAGGGAGCTGTTGACACCCACCCATGTTGGGTCAAATGGGCTGAGGCTTAGGCAGGAAGGTTGGCAAGGTAAACAGAGCAGAGTCCGCTCTCTGCTTAGCCTACAGGCTCCCCAGTGGTTCCTTCCATATTGTTTCCCTTGGGAGCTCAGCTAGATGTATCATCTTCCCTTGTTAGCAGTAGAGCAACCAGGCCAGCTAGTTGGGGGAGTTAGCACTGAGAACTAGTTTCGTGTGGCCAGACCACGGGCAAGCTGAGGTTAGTAATGTTCAGCTTTCTAGGGGTTGAACCAAGCCAAAACTGTAGTGCAGTTCAAAGAAATACCCGTAAAGGGAGTCACCAAAGCTTGAACTCCTAATGCTTTTTGAGTGTTGATAAAGAACCTCTGTGCTCTTAGTCCTCAAAAGAACCTCTTGACTGTCAGTGCTCCCATGAATGATTGTGCAGTTTGTGCACTGCACAACTGAGAGAGCACCATGTACATGGTAGATAGTGTAGGTTTCTGTATTTATTTTGCCACTTTTCCGGAAGATAGTGATCAAGTGTCTTGTTCTGTCAAAATTCATACATTAGCGCAATATCTTAGTTAGCCAGTGCTGCTGTATTAGAAATATCACAGGTTGGTAACTTTAAAGAGCAGAAATTCATTTTCTCATAGTTTAGGAGACTAGAAGTCCAAATTCAGGGCATGAGCTCTAAGAGAAGGGGCTCTGTCTGCTCTGGCGGAATATCTTTGTCTCTTTCAGTTTCTATTCCTCAGTTCCTTGGAGATCTCTTCTCCTACTCCTCAGTTATTGACTATCCAACATTTCATATTTATAACAGTAGTAAAAATTCTACTGTCTGGCTATTTTGCACATTGATGACGTATCTCTGGCAATAAGGAATGTGAGGTATGATGCTAGAGTAATGCTGGCTGTGATGGTTAAGGTTGTATCACCTTGGTTGGGCCATGATTCTTAGTAGTTTGGCAGTTATGTAACAATGTCATTATCCTCCATTTTGTGATCTGATGTGGTTATCCTTCATTTTCATATAACGCCAACTTTTATATAACAACCTACTCATTGGAACCTAACCATGTTGATAAGTGAGAAATAGGTGTACTTACTGTCTCTGTGCCCAATCTGGTCTTTTTATATCTCAAAAGTGATTTAGTTTAAGACACTCTATATTGATCGCTTTGTTAGCAGAACAAAAAAACCCATATATGCAAATAGAATTACATCCACAGGTGTAAGGGTTAGGATTCCAACACATATTTTGGGAGGACACAATTCAGTCCGTAACAGGCAATTTTCCAGCAGATGGAAGGCAAAGGTCTTGAGGCAGGAATGCTTTCTCACCAGCATTGTGTGGGCTGGTTACAGCCCAACTCTACTCTTCCAACCTACCTGCTCTGAGCCTCAGTGTCCTTATCTATAAAATGAGGAGATGAACTAGATGACCCATAAAGTCCCTTTTTACTCTGACATTGTATGATCCTTATAGGGGTTGGTAAGTGTCTATTGATAGATTGGTTGGTTGGTTGGTTGGTTGCTGGAGCTGATGACCCTATGCTAGACTATCACCTCTGCCCCTATTGTTCCTGCTCTTAACTCCATGCTCTGTTTTCCAAGGAGGAGAAGCCTGCCAGTGAACGGAGGCTCCTCCGTGTTCAGGGCACCATGGCCACATCAGCCCCACTGCGGAGCCTAGAAGAGGAGGTGACCTGCTCCATTTGCCTCGATTATCTGAGGGACCCTGTGACCATTGACTGTGGCCACGTCTTCTGCCGCAGCTGCACCACTGACGTCCGCCCTGTGGCGGGGGGCCGCCCTGTTTGCCCACTTTGCAAGAAGCCTTTTAAGAAGGAGAATATTCGCCCCGTGTGGCAGCTGGCCAGTCTGGTGGAGAACATCGAGCGACTGAAGGTAGACAAGGGCCGACAGCCGGGGGAGGGGCCCCGTGAGCAACAGGACGCCAAACTGTGTGAGCGGCACCAGGAAAAGCTACACTACTACTGCGAGGATGATGGGAAATTGCTGTGTGTGATGTGCCGGGAGTCCCGGGAGCACCGACCCCACACAGCTGTCCTCTTGGAGAAGGCTGCCCAGCCCCACAGGGTAAGTCCTCCCCACCCCAAGGTGCCATCTTCCTTGAGGCGTGACTGCCCTGGAGTCCATCTGGAGGTGGGCCTGGCTAAGAGCCCTCAGAAGGTTCTTTGTAGGTTGAGGACTTGAGCCTGAGTCCACCCTCCTGCCCCAGCCCTGAGCATCCACTTGTCCCCGCTGCTTGTCTTCCCACAGGAAAAAATCCTGAACCACTTGACTACCCTCAGGAGAGACAGAGACAAAATTCAGGGCTTCCAGACAAAGGGAGACGCTGATATCCTGGCGGCACTGGTAAGTGAGACTGGGGAAGAAGATCCTGAGGCAGCAATTTAAAATGGGGAGCAGGGGGCATGAGCCGGAGCCAGAGCCAGAGCCAGAGCCAGAGCCAGACAGGGAGAGAGTTTAGGAGAACCCCACTGGAGAAGATGAGTGTTGGACTCGAAGCTGAGAGGCCTGAGTTTTAACCAAGTCCTGCTGGTCTGAGTTATGTGGCTCTGGGCCTGTTTTCTCATCTGACAAGTGGGTGGGCTACCTAGGTGGGTGTCGGCTAAAGCCCCTTCTTGTTCTTTGTGGGTCTCACCTCAGCTTCAGGCCCATCCCTGGCAGCTGTTGCTTTTTTATTCTGCCAGGGAGAATCAAAATGTAGGGAACTGAGGAAGGCCTTGCTTCACCCTTCCTTTCAAAGATGGTGGGAAGACATTATTCCTGAAGTAGAGAGAGCCAGGGGTTTGGGAGGAAGGAACTGGCCCAAGATGAGAACAGAGAGGAGGCCAAGGAGAGAGTTAAAGAAGCCCTGACCAGCTGGAATGACTAGTTCTGTGTGTAGTAAAGCCAAGGCCCCAACTTCATGGTTGCCTATAGTTGAAAAACAGGTGGCACATGGTGTGCTTGATTGGTGATAGGGCAGGAGGGAAGAAACTGATGAGGTGGTTCCAGTGTTCTAGGGGTATGTTTGTTAAGGAAGTGGTGGATATTGGAGGCCTACAATAAGTGATGAGGCCCTGGATGAGAGTAAAGCAGAAGACAGCCTGTGTCTAGGAGCACCCGAGGTCCAGTGTGCGTGGAGGCCTACCAGCTGACATCAGTCAGCAAGGAGGACAGACGACTCTGGTCAGAGCCCATATACTTGGCAGGGAGGCTCAGAGGCAGGAGCAGGAAAGGACATGGCTGCTGATTACAGTCACTCCACACTGTCACTGAGAGAATAAGATGCAATCCTCCAGGCCAGGGATGGGTGTACACAGATATTTTATACATATTACAGAGATGCCCAAGAGAAGGTTGGTCAGGCTTGGATGTTTATCAAGGAAAGCTTTCAGGAAGCTGGGACATACAGAGATTGATGCCCAAGAGGGAAAAGTGTTGGCTTACAAGTGAGATCCACAGAATTCCTCGAAGGGCTCTGGTACTCATTGGTTCACCTAGTATAACTCAGGCTTTAGTGGCAAAGAGCTGGGAATACTTGTCAGGCAGAGTTAAGGTCTAGTCAGGGAGGGGCTGAGTGAACCTAACTAGTTCACCTACTATGTTTTCTCTGAGAAGATGGTGGACCAGCAGTACTCTAAAGCTCTACCCAACCCAAACACTGCCAGTAACCAACCATTTGTTGTCGAGTTGACTCTGACTCATGACAGCCCTATGTGTGTCAGAGTAAAACTGTTCCATAAAGTTTTCAGTGGCAGATTTTCTGAAAGGAGATTACCAAGTCTTTCTTCCATGGTGCCTCTAGGTAGATACATGAATGGGGATAACAGGGGGAGAAGAGTCAGTCAGCCTTGTGTGCTACTCACTCCATGTCCTAGAGGAATCCTTAATCTGACGCTGTACCATCACCTCCTGTCCCCCTCCTGCCTCTGCAGAAGAAGCTCCAGGACCAGAGGCAGTGTGTCGTGGCTGAGTTTGAAAAGGGTCACCAGTTCCTGAGGGAGCGGGAGCAGCATCTGCTGGACCAGCTGGAGAAGCTAGAGCAGGAGCTCACGGAGGGCAGGGAGAAGTACGAGGCTAGGGGTATCGGGGAGCTCGCCCGGCTGGCATTGGTCATCTCTGAACTGGAGGGGAAGGCACAGCAGCCAGCTGCAGAGTTCATGCAGGTGAGAGACTTCCCCAGAGTTGGAAGCCAGGAGACCTGAACATGGGTAACCTCGAGAGTGTTACTTCCTCTAGGGGTCTTTGTTCACTCCTCTAAATAAGAGGATGATAATCACTTACCCTCCCACCTAATTCAAGCATCGTGTGAATATAAAATGGGATAACTGTTTCGGTGTCACTTTAAAAAGTAAAAAGTAAAATTTCTATAATAAAACATTTTAAAAAGTAAGGAGTGCTGTAGAAATGGAAGGAAAGCTTATTATGTCATCTTTAACATTCTCTGTCCTCATTACTGCCATCATGAGCCCTTCTAACAGCCCATCGGCAGACCCTTCTCAAGGGTAAGCTGTTTATGGCTCTTGAGATAAATAACAGTATCATGGTTGGGGAGGCTTAGGGAGGGTTGACAGTGGTTTTTTTCAAGGGCTGGGAGGGACTGGAGGAGATAGCAGTTGGATAAAGGATGGATGAGGTTTTCTCTGGGATTATGGGATTACCACCAAAGAAACAAAATGGAGAGCAGACTAGGGACATTTCCTGGAAGGTGTGGCTTTGATGCCAAGGAAGAGAGAATCTTGGATTAGGGGAAACCATACCTCTCTCTTAGTAGAAGTGGCTGTCTGATGGTCTCCCCCACTTGCGTGGTTTGGGATGGGCAGGCCTGTCTGTGAGCAGTGGAACCACCAGAGTCTCCTCTAGGAAAATGCTGTCCTACTTCCTACTACCTATAGTGCAGATTGATGGGCAGGAGGGGAGAAATGGTAATGCAAGTTCCCCCAGTATGTGTGCTGGCCCATTGCTCATGAGGAGATGGCCCCCGGTTATCTTTGCACCACTGTGGATACAGATTCAGAATGAGGACTGACCAGGATTTCAGAACTCTTCCAGCCTACCTCCCCACTGATCAAGGCTGAGATTAGTGTCTCTTGTTTACTGCTCTATTCAAGTTTCTAGATTAGTTCTTGGTACATAGGAAGCACTTAATAAATTTTGTGAATGACATAAAAGAAGGCAAAATCGATAATTAATCCAAGTGTTTTGGAGGCTGTAGACTCACCAGAGGGAATCTAACTAGCATCTAACTAATGGACCATCTTCCCGTTCCAGTCTGTCCCACTGTCCGTCTTCCCCTATCACACAAGTGACACCAGTAATCCTCCCTTCTACTCAAGCCGTAACCTCGATTATCCTCAACCAGTATGTGCAGTTGAGTCTGTCACTGAAACATACCTGTAATGGGCTGCTTCTCCTCATTTCCACTGCAGCCACCTTAGTTCAGGCCTCCTTTGTCTCTCACCTGATTCACACTATTAGCCTCCAGACCAACCTCCCCACATGTGCATTGCCTCTTTTGATACATTCTTTTTTTTTTTTTTTTTTCATTGTTTATTGTGATTTGGTGGAAGTTTACAGAGCAAATTCACTTTCTGTACAGCAGCTCACATACACTTTGTCTCATGACATTGACTGCAATTTTTCACAATGCGACAGCTTTCCTCCCACTTCCTTCACATGGTTACCTTTTCCCTGTGTCCTTCCCTCCCATGCACTCTTGCCCCTCGAGCTGTCTCCTTGTGCATACACAGCCCTTGTATTCTCCCATGACTGATCTCTCCAAGGAGTGTATCTACCTAATGTAAATGTTCAGCTCATATGCCTGTCTTTTGTTCGGCTGGAAGTCACAGGAGTGGGTTCATTTCCAGACCTGAAGGGCAGCTAGGGACCATAGTCTCAGTGGTTCCATCAGGCTCTATCAGACCAACAGGCCTGGTCCCCTTGAAATGGTTGGACCTTGACCAGTTCTTGTTGGTACGGTAACTATGTATTCATTCCTTCAATCTTCTGTGATCAGTGACCAATCACACTGGAAGATAGAAGTCCAAGCTATATTGAAGACATTGCCAAAAACTAAGACTACAGGAATACGTGAATACCAATTGAAATGTTTCAGCAAATGGATGCAGCACTGGAAGTGGTCACTCATCTATGCAAAGAAGTTTGGAAGACAGCTACCTTGCCAACCAACTGGAAGAGATCCATATTCCAAGTAAAAGATATCCAACAGAATGTAGAAATTACTGAGCAATGTCATTAATATCACATGCAAGTATAATTTCACTGAAGATAGTTCAGAAACAGTTGTAGCAGTACATAGCCAGAGAACTGCCAGAAATTCAAGCCAGATTCAGAAGAGGATTTGGAATGAGGTGTATCATTGCTGATATCAGATGGATCTTGGCTGAAAGCAGAGAATACTAGAAAGATGTTTACCTGTATTTTATTGACTATGCAAAGACATTCATTCAACTGAGTGGATCATAACAAATTATGGATAACATTGTGAAGGATAGGAATTCTAGAGCACTTATTTGTGCTCATGCAGAACCTGTACATAGACTAAGAGGCAGTCATTCAAACAGAACAAGGGGATACTGATTTAAAATCAGGAAAGATGTACATCAGGGTAGTATCCTTTTACCATACTTATTCAGTCTGTATGTTGAGCAGATAATGCGAGAAGCTGGACTGTATGAATAAGAGCACAGCATCAGGATTATTAACACTCATTAACAGTGGGCAATATGTATATGATACAAGCTTGCTTGCTGAAAACAAAGAGGACTTGAAGCATTTACATGAAGATCAAAGACTACAGCCTTCAGTGTGGAGTACCCCTCAACATAAAGAAAACAAAAATCCTCTCAACTGAACCAATAAGCAACATCTTGATAAGCAGAGAAAAGATTCAATTTGTGAAGGATTTAATTTTACTTGGATCCACAGTCAACACCCATAGAAGCAGCAGTCAAGGAGTCAAATGACACATACTGCATCAGGCGAATCTGCTACAAAGTCCTCTTTAAAGCATTCAGAAGCAAAGATGTCACTTTCAAGACTTAAATGACACTTTAAAGACCCAAGCAACAGTATTTTTTATCACCTCATATCATGTGAAAGCTGGACCGAAGAAGAATTGATGGCTTTGAATTGTAGTGTTGACAAAGAACATTGAATATACAGTGGACTTCCAGAAGAATGACCAAATTTGTTTTGGAAGAAGTACAGCCAGAATGCTCCTTAGAAGCAAGGATGGTAAGACTTCTCATGTATTTTGGACATGTATTAGGAGGATCTAGTCCCTGGAGAAGGACATCATGCTTGGAAAAGTAGAGACTCAGTGATAAAGAGGAAGACCTTCCATGAGATGGATTGACACAGTGGCTGCAGCAGTGGGCTCAAAGATAGCAGTGATTGTGAGGATGGCACAGCACCAGGGCTATGTTTCACTCTGTTGTACGCAGGGTCACCATAAGTCAGAGCCAACTTGATGGCACCTAACACTAACAGTCTTTTGCTGGGTGGCCATCTGCCCAGGTGTAACTCCAGGGGTTCTATTATTGGAAAGAAGGAGAGAGTGGATCCTGGAGGACACTTTGCAGTCTCATAAGACAGATCACATCTGTTACTCCCCTACGTGACCTTTGGTGGTTTTCCAGTGTACGTGGAGAAAAATCCAAACTCCTGCCCATTGCCTCTCCGGTCCTATGTGATCTGGCCCCTGACTGCCTCCTTCGCTAAGACCTTTCCCTTTTCATCTTCTTTCCACTCTTTACTTGGCCAGCACCTTCTCATCCTTTAAATTTGAGTACAACTCGTCAGAGAGATCACTTCATCATTTTCCTTACACCCACCCCCACCCCATGTTTTCTTCTGTCATTATGATTATTTTGTTATTGTTGTTTTAAATCTGATATCCCCACTCAAATGTCAGCTTCTTAATGTGGGACTACATTTATCTTGTCAGCTGTTCCCTAATATAGTACAGGGTACATATGAATGAAGAGTTTAATTGATTGACATTGATGCTTGTACTTTTCTCTTCTAGGACGCCAAAGACTTCTTAAACAGGTAAAAAGAGCTTCCTTTCCACAGTATATCTCATTCCTCTGTGCCTATAGCCCCTCCCCTTTTTCTTGACCATGATCTGTTTGAATTAACGGGAAGTTAACTCATAGTTCATCCTGATAACCTTTCCCTTTTCCTTCTGTGAAGTAAAACCACATCCTTATAGAATGGAAGACTTGTGCTGCACTTCAGCAAGTTCCCTTTGCAATCCCAGCTCTTTGCCCACAGCCCTTGTTTGGGGTGGGACAGAGTAGAGAAGATAGACACGTGGCTTGGTAGACAGACATGCTGTGCACATGAGTCAGCTGATGGTCTTGTTTCCTGGCTCTGCTCCTTACCAGCTGTGGGCAGTTCATTCTGAGCCCCAGTTTTCCCCTCTGTTAATTGAGCGTAAGCATATCTTTCCCATCCTCTTTGCATAAGTGTCTTGAGCATTAAAAGAAAAAAGTATAACACTAAGTAACAAGTTAATGATGTCTGTCATCATCTCAGGTATCCACGCAAGAAGTTCTGGATTGGGAAACCCATTGCTCGGGTAGTTAAAAAAAGAACTGGAGAATTCTCAGATAAACTTCTCTCTCTGCAGCGAGGCCTGAGAGAATTCCAAGGTGAGAGTTGAGGGGAACATGGGGATGTGAGTCCAGAGCTAGGGTACTACTTTGAAAGAGTGCAAAAAGGACAGGGAGGTAGTATCTTCTGACCTCCTCTAACTTCACAAGAGGAAGACGGTAACCCAAAGCTTATTCCTATGAGGCCAGACATGCTGCCACCCTCCAGCCTTTTACCAATTCTGACACCAATTGCCCCTCCAACGGCACTCGTTACTCTGCTGAGTTCAGTAATTCATTGCAGTGGCCACACAGAACTCATAGATAATGCTCATGATTATGGGGTTTATTAGGAAAATAACAGGCTACAATTCAGGTTCAGGAATGCACTCGGGATACAGTTCTTCAGTCAGGACAGTCTTCCCTCTGCTGTGCCCTCAGGCATACTTCTCTGACCCTGAGCCTCTACTCCTGGCCTTTGCCCTGCTTGGACAAGTGTTACAAAGCTCTTTTAGCTCTGCCAATAGGTATGCCTAGATGCATCCCAGGTAAGCCCACCACTTTGTCTCATGCCTCTTGGTTGCACTGCCGCTGTCTCTCTGCTGGGGAGTCTCTCTGCCAGGGCATCTCTCTGCTGGAGTATCTCTCAGCCAAGGAGATCCAGCCCAGGGATCTTGGGTCCAAGCATGCACTTCACTTCTCCTCCAACTCTTCTCTCTCAATGGCAGTGAGATCCCATCTGCCTGTAGGAGGGCTCATTTTACGCCTGGCAGAGTGGCAAAACTAACCAATCCCAGCATCAGAGTTCTACACACCTTACTTGCATGGTCCCACCCAGTAATCTGGTGGGAGTTAAAAAGACTATGGCTAGAAAAGCCGTACCAAGTAATTCACTGTACCACAAAGAGGTACCCTGGCTCCTGACTGACTTAATCTCTGATCTGATCTTATGAAGTCTCCTAGCTATTATCTATTTTCTTGGAGTCTCAAGGATGGAACTTTGTCACAAAATTAATACCCTCTAGGTAAGAAATGGGCCCATATATTTGCTAGGCTTGAGGGTCATTGCTCTGCCTTTTTTTTTTTTTTTTTTTTTCTTTTTTCTCCCCAGGGAAGCTGTTAAGAGACCTGGAATATAAGACAGGTGAGTGTCCAAAGGGTTATCCCTAGATTTACCTGAAATGAAGAATACTGTTCCTACAGACACTCTGCTCTTCTGTCCCTCTGGCTGCCCCTTCTATGTAACAGGGAGAATTTCCCAACTGCAAACCTGAATCCCTCCCCTTGCATTTTGTGACCAATCTTTTCTTCAGTTTGCAGTAGAAACTTCCACTTGATAGTCTGACTCTTTTCCTGCCCTACATTTATTCTATCTGCACAGATCTTACTACTCAGTCTTTTCCCTGTGGATGAGTTTCTTCTGAGCTGCCTGACCCTCTGGATCCTGTATTCAGAGTAAACAAACAGCATGGCAGCCTAAGGCCAGAGGCCATGTCTGTGCCAGTCCCTCATCTGTAACCCCTCTTGGCCTGGCCATCAGATTGTGCCTCTAGGGGCACCCTTCATGTCAACCAAGACATGATAGTGCCCCTGCATTGTGCATTGTGGTAGCCAACCTGCTATGAAAGCTATGGACACCGTGCAGCCTGGTGGTACCTTTCTGAACCACAACTGACATTGTTTCCTCTCCTCTTCCCTTGTCCCCATAGTGAGTGTCACTCTGGACCCACAGTCAGCCAGTGGGTACCTTTTGCTGTCGGAGGACTGGAAGTGCGTGACCTACAGCAACCTGTACCGGAGTAACTACCTGTACCCTCAGCAGTTTGACTGTGAACCTGGGGTGCTGGGCAGTAAGGGCTTCACTTGGGGCAAGGTTTACTGGGAAGTGGAGGTGGAGCGGGAGGGCTGGTCCGAGGATGAAGAGGAGGGCAACGAGGAGGAAGAAGTGGAAGAAGAGGAAGAAGAAGAGGAGGCTGGTTATGGGGATGGATATGATGAATGGGAAACAACAGATGAGGACGAGGAATCATTGGGGGATGAAGAGGAAGAAGAGGAAGTAGAAGAGGAGGAAGTTCTGGAAAGCTGCATGGTAGGGGTGGCCAGAGACTCTGTGAAGAGGAAGGGTGGCCTCTCCCTGCGGCCAGAGGATGGGGTATGGGCTCTGCGCCTCTCCTCTGCAGGCATCTGGGCCAACACCAATCCTGAGGCCGAGCTCTTCCCAGCCCTGCGGCCCCGAAGGGTGGGCATTGCCCTGGATTATGAGGGGGGCACTGTGACTTTCACTAATGCAGAGTCGCAGGAACTCATCTACACCTTCACTGCCACCTTCACCCGCCGCCTAGTCCCATTCCTGTGGCTCAAGTGGCCTGGAACACGGCTGCTGCTGAGACCGTGAGCCATGATTACTGTTCCCTGACCCCCCAGTCACAGATGGTTCAGTTCTTGAGAACTCCAGGGGTGAGGGTGCAGAGGATGTGCCTGGCCAGAGCACTTGGTGCAGGGGAAAGGAGGGACCCAAGTCTGCTGCCAACCCTCCCTGTCACTGTGGCCCCTTTGAGACCACGCTCAGTGCTGTTGCTCCATCTGGCTGCCCCCATCTGGCTTTTCCTCCTGTGGGGAACTTCCGGTCCTGAAATCCATGAGGGCTCATCCATCTTTTGTCATCACTGCCTTCAACGCATTTCTGTGCTCTTTGTTGACTAAGGGGCCGAGGCTGCATGTTCTTGCCCAGGGTGGTATCCCTTGCCAGCTGGCCCTCAGGGAGGACTAGTAGATGATTATATTTAAGGCTATTTCGCTGTCCTAAAATCTCACAGGGTCCCCCTTGCCCAAATCCACTCTACTGCCTGCCTACCCTGACATTTTAAACAGATCTACCGCCACCCCAACTCAGAGTTGAACACACATGAAAGTGCTAAAAATAAATTGAATGAAAACCCCACTGAGGCATCCCAGGCCATTTAGTAAGCTGCCTGGAGCACCAGTGGAGATTATCTCCTCCTGAGGTCCAGAGTGGAACCTGGACTTCTTAAGTCCAGACCTGTGACTACAGAGGTGATCCTCCTTGGAGCCATCTGTGGTCCTTGTGGGGAAGAATCTTTGTACATGTGGCATTGGGATAATAGTGGTGATCAGTGCTCAGTAAATTTTCTCTGTGGATTGATCCCCTCCGTGGAGGGAAATTTTTTAAAGTGTCCTGAATATCTGGCTTTTGATCAGTCCATCTAAAAACACCAGGGAGAACATTCAGTAGAGCAAAACCTTCCCTGTCTTGGAGGCGCATCACTTCTCTGATCCATTCCTCCAGTAGGGTATTAAGTTTCTGTCACTGGCCCAACTCAACATGCAAGTTTCATTTTCCTAGGAGAGGGCCCAGGGATGGGAAGACGTGGCTGTGTGGGGAGAGGAAAAGAATGGTAGCAGGAATCCACGAGTCCACCAGGGCCTCGCACCTAGGGAAGGATTAAGGTGTCTAATTGCCCACAGGCCCAATCCAAGTCCCTGGCCTCCTTCGTTCAGGCATTCCCTCTCCCTGCCACTCTCACGCCCACAGTTCAGCACACAGGCTCCTGCTCCATCCAGACTGATCTCATGGTCTTTGTCCTCACCTTTAACACCTTCATTCCAAGCTTCTCTGCTCTGCCAGTCCCTTGCTTATCCAAGCTTCAACTCCTCCCGCTGCTCTGAGACTGTTTCTAACAGCTGTGGATCTCTGAGCCATTACATAGTCTTGAAGTTGCCCCCTTTGGATATGTCACAGGCTGCCTGAATCACATGTACATCCAATTTCCATAGCTAGTTTTGTAAGCTCCTTGAGGGCAGATACCATATATTTCTCTTGTATTCTCCATGGCACCTAGAGCAGTGCTGGGCACAGAGTAGGTGCTCAATAAAATCTTGTTGAATGACTGGTCTGGATATATATGCTTTATTGTTACTCAGATATCACTAGACCATTGCAATATGTGGTCCTCCAAGTTCATCCACATTATGCGGTGTTTTGCAGATTCTACATTATTCTTTAGCATTGCATAGTATTCCATTGTGTGTATGTACCATAGTTTGGTTATCCATTCCTCAGTTGATGGACATCTAGGTTGTTTCCATGTTTTGGCTATTGTAAATAGTGCTGCGATGAACATCAGCGTGCATATTTCTGTTCTTGTCATGGCTCTCACTTCTCTAGGGTATATACCTAGTAATGGGATGGCTGGGTCAAATGGTATTTCTAATTCCAACTTTTGAAGGAATCGCCATACTGCTTTCCACAATGGTTGTACCATTTTACAGTCCCACCAGCAGTGTATGAGAGTCCCAATCTCTCCACAACCTCGCCAGCATTTGTTATTTTCTGTCTTGTTGAACTTTGCTACCAGTGCTGGAGCAAGATGGTATCTCATTGTTGTTTTGATTTGCATCTCTCTAATAGCTAATGATCATGAGCATTTCTTCATATGTTTGTTGGCCGCTTGAATATCTTCCTTGGTGAAGTGTCTATTCATGTCTTCTGCCCATTTTTTAATTGGATTGTTTGTCTTTTTGTTATTGAGGTGTTGAAGTGTTCTATAAATTCTAGAGATAAGTCTACATTATTCTTTAGTGCTGCATAGCATTCCATTATGTGTATGTACCATGGTTTGGTTGTCCATTCTTCCGCTAATAGGCACGTAGGTTGTTTCCATCTTTTTGCTGTTGTAGATATCCTGCACAACTTTTGTCTTCATGGAGTTGATAATTTCCTTGATTTTCTTTTGCATTGTTTCTTATGCTTTTATTGCTGATTGAACCCCAAGCTCTTCAACAGCTATCAAAATCTCAGGATATTCATTCATCAGGTTCTCTTATCAATTTTGTCTCTCTTAGAGCTCCTGACCACCCCATCTGTGACTTCCAGTCTGGATAATTGCTCCCTCACCTGGGCACAACTCTCTGGCTCTCCTGTCACCATCATAGTGGGGATTCTGAATTGGTTCTCGTATTTTTCCTATGTTTTCTACTTCTTAGTTTACTTCTTCATTTTGTTGAAACATCCTGTAGTAGTTTCCTGAAATATTATGCAGGGAAGGTATTCTGGATTGAATTGTGTCCCTGAAAACTATATGTTGCAAATCCTAACTTCTATGCCTATGGTTACAATCCCATTTGGGAACAAGTTGTCTTTGATATGTTAATGAGACAGGATTAGTGTAGGATGTATCTTGAGTCAATCTCTTGAGATATAAAAGGGGTTAAACTAGCTAGCAAAGGGAGATAAGGGAAGACACTTGCCAGGCCACGTGAAGCTCACCAGGAGCAGTAGCTCAGAAGAGACAAGGACCTTCCTCTTGAGCTGATGGAGAGAAAGCCTTCACCTATAGCTGGCACCCTGCATTTGGATGTCTAGACTCCTGAACCATGAGAAAACAAATTTTGTTCATTAAAGCTGCCCACTTGTGGTATTTCTTTTAAACTCTCACTAGATGACTAAGACAGAAAGTGAGTTTTTGAAATCTATTCTATCTTTATACTTACTTGATAGATTTGCTAGGTATAGTTTTTTAAAAAATTTTTCTTTTTACCTTTTATTATGATTTGGGTGCAATTTTACAAAGCAGATTCATTTTATGTTCAACAGTTCATCATAGACATTTTGTTTCATGACACTGATTACAGTGCTCACAATGTAACAGCTCTCCTCCCACCACCTCCCTGTGGTTACTCCTTTCTTCTGTCCTTACCTCTATACATTCCTGCCTTCCTAGCTTTCTCCCTGTGCAAATGCTTCCCTTCTAATCTCCCGTGGTTGACTGTTCTAAGAAGTGCATCTCACTGGTATAGTTGTTCAACTCTTAGGCCTGTCTGTTGTTTGGCTGAGAATTGAGCCACAGGATTCTTGGTAGGAAATGTTTCCTTCAGAATTACAAAGATATTTGCCCCACTGCTTTCTTGCTTCCACTGTTGCTGTTGTGAATGCTCTTGGCACCCTGATTCCTGGTCCTTTGTATGTGGCTTGCTTTTTTCTTCTGGAAGCTTATCTGTGTGATTATTGTTCTTAAAATTTTTAATGTTGTGCCTTTGTACATTTTTTCTGCCCATTGAGCTGATAGCTCAGTGGACCCTTTTAGTCTAGAAATACAGTAACCTTCAGTTCTGGGAAATTTGGTTGAGTTATGTCTTAATTTTTCTCTCCTCCATTTTCTCTGTTCTTTCCAGGTTGCTGCCTTACCCCTCATGTATTTCCTGAATCCATTTATTGAGTACCTGTGACGGTCCAAGATGTTTCTAGGTTACAGTAGTGATAAGTAAGCAAGGGCTGTGCACTCATGGTGTTTACACAGTGGTGAAGGGTGACAAGCAATGCATAAAAATAAACAATAAAATGGTAATAAGCACTATGCACAGAATTATAATATGATTGTGATAGAAAGCGATTAGATGTCTATAATAGATAATTAGAAAGAAGTTCTCTGGGAAGGTGGACTCTGAAGGTTGAGAAAGAAGTTCTAAGGAAAGAGCACATCAACCAGCAGGAACTTCAAAGTCCTAAGGCAAGCTGGGACTTGCAGTAGCAAGGAGGACAGTGTGGCTTGAGTATGGTTGTGGGAGAGTAGTAGAGATGATGGTGGAGCAGTAAGCTGGAACAGAAATCAAGTGGGGCCCTGTGGACCATACTAAGAAGTTTGAATTTTTTTCTAAGTGCAGTGAGAAGCTATTGAAGCCTTGCAGGCAAAGAAGGAATGATTCAATGAAGCAAATATTAAGTGTGCATCTGTGCTGTGGCAAACGCTATTCTTACCATTTGACAGGAAGCAGTTTTTAAGACATCACTTCTTCAAGCAGCTTTCATTTTAGGAGAAAACAATAAAAATAAGTATAGAAAATAATATAGCATGTGCCTTAGAGATTTGCTATAACAAATACCACAAACGGATGACTTTAATAAGCAAATTAATTTTCTTAACTGTTTAGGAGGCTAGAAGTCCAAGTTCAGGGTGCTAGCTCTAGGGGAAGGCTTTCTCTGTTGGCTCTGGAGGAAGGGCCTTGTCTCTTCTGAGCTTCTGCTCCTGGATGATCTTCAGGTGGCCTGGCATCTCTCTCCCCTCATCTCTGCTTCTCTTACTTGCTTGTTTAATCTGTTTTGTATCTCAAAAGATGCACACTCATACTAATCCTGTCTCGTTAACTTGTTGTTATGTGCCGTAGAGTCAGACCTGACTCATAGCCACCCCTCCTTGGGTTTCTGAGGCAGTATCACTACGGAAGTAGATTGCCCCATCTTGCTTCTGAGGAGCGGCTGATGGGTTTGAACTGCCAGCCTTCTGGTTAGCAGTCAAGTATCTTAGGTACTATGCTACCAGACAGATCATTCCCAAATAGGATTATAACCATAAGCATAGCAGTTAGGGTTTACCACAC